GGCGCCATCTCCTCGCTGTAGCAGCTCTCGGCGTCAGCCAGCAACATGGCGATTACGTGGTTCGCGCCTCGGACACAACACGGACACTACGCCCCTGAGCCACTTCTGTCCACGTCATCTTTATTTCGAGACGTCAACACGAAGACATAAATCAGAGTAAGTGATGGTAATGCAAAATAACATATTGTTTTGATAACGTCCACCTTTTAGACGTAGGCGCCGTGTAGACTCGTCAGTAGATGCCAACGCCTCGGACATACTGTCTCCATCTTCAGATCTAAAGATGGAAGCAATATGTTTCGGCCTTGAAGATGGATACATTATGTTTCTCCGAAACGTTGGCATATACTGACGAGTCTACACGGCGCTAAAATCGTCCTTACAGCCGTGCATACCTCAAATTACATATTATTTTGTTATAAATGTTTATTAGGAAGACCATTTCTTTGATTTTTTTCAGCGTGACCGGAGATTAAAAAAGCTGCATATAAACAACAAGTGTTTTAAAAACATTTCACGTTTGTGAAAGAAGTCAGACCCGGGGCATTAACAGATGTGAGGGATGCTGTGGAATATTTAGAGGTACGAGCATGCTGTCTGTGACTGAATTACGCAAATGATTTTAGTAAAATGATTTTGTACATTTTACCCGAAGATCAGTATTTATATATCTGACCGTCTGCAATGAACATCTGGATAATTCGAAAATGTATACGTAAGTCGAAGCTCATACTTTAAACCCCGTTCGCTTCAAATTACAAGGTTATGTTCTGGTACCCCGTATGAGGTAATGTAGTCTAGCATTCCTCTATTGCTCGCAGTTCAAAATTAATTTCCTTCACTGTCAGCCAATTAACTAGGAATTACGTTACATTAGCAGCTTTGTAGATTATCATTCACGGAAGTCTAATGGTATTATAGTAAATAAATCACAAATACGACAAACCTACACTGAGAATATCTTCAGAAATTCTATTTCCGACTACCAGATACGGTTGACAGCGTGGCAACACAATGGCTACTGACTGAAGCCAGTGACATCTGGTGGTTCCCATGAGAAAGTCGCCTTTGACGGTCCTATGACTTAACCAGTAGTGCTGGACATCACAATCCAATTTCTGGTTTGTTACATCAAGTACGCACACACTACATTAATAACCAAACATCTAAGAAAACTATTTATTACAGATATTTACCCCCAACACGTTTCGACTAATTTCAGACATCTTCAGATAATTCAGAGCTATCTGTTGAAGTTGTTAAATTGTTCACATTTTTTTGTAGCATAAAGTTATTGGAATTTAAAAAAATATATATATTTTTAATGAGATGGTAAAGTTGCGTCATATTGTGATATAATATATATATATATTATATCACAATATGACGCAACTTTACCATCTCATTAAAAATATATATATTTTATAAGAACAGTATTAATTTTTTAAGTTCTATATCTTACTCAATTTTCATATTATAATTTATTATTTAATTCGGATTCTTAAACACCATGACCTTTCATGAAATACTATTCACATTCTTGGATCTTAGACCCCGTTGTCATCTTTCTGTGGTTCCATTCCGAATCCTCTTTGATCTGTGTCACAACTGTTTCTCCTCGAATCTTCGTACTGACAGTGTTGTTAATGTGATTCAGTCAGTAGGAACAGTAGGAATGAAAACAGAAATTCGAATTACGACGGCGTCGAAAGGAAAAAGTCGTGGATGGTTTTCAGGAGGAACTGAAGAAAATCATATGACCTCTTTGTCTCCTTCTTGAAACTCCTTAATCTTTTCACAAAGGATCAATACCGGAGCCAGCGCTTCGGCGACCCCACCTTAATACTTACGTGCCAGCTGCTCCGGCCCGTCAGTTTTCATTCTGAAACGAAATGGTAAACACATGTAACGCGGTCGCCCATCTTATTAATTCACATCTCGTACAGGCGTATTATCAACCAGAATTTATAGAAGTAAGAATTCAAGACCTGATACTAACTAAATTCATTCCTGATGAACCTCGGCCATCGTGGGACGTGAATCGAGTTATGTCTGTCGTACGGACAGACGGACACTGTCTGCTGAGGAAAATCAGTGTTTTACCTGCTGATGGAATCTAACACTGAAACTAACAGCTGCAGATAAAACAAGACGGATTTCGGACACCAAGCTGAAGTATTTGTGTGTACCGGACCTGCAACTGATGACAGGAATATTTCTGAGTTTTAATAACGAAATTCGGCGTAGGCCTACATTTCGAACAATGCAAGAGGACTGCATTCTGTCGGGGAGTGAATTCAGCGTCCAGTGTTACCTTATGCCTAATTATTTTTCGGATATGTTCAATTACAGAAATTTATCAGCGGAACGCAGTTTAAAAACCACTGCATTGAAGTAAATATTCTTCTTATGAATTGCTTTGTTAATGAGTCCTGCTTTGTGCAGGAAGTTTTATGCTAAACACCAAAAGCGTGGAAATACAGGCTGAAGACGACTGTGTTCTGGGATGTTTCGCCTTGTAGTATGGTTGAAAGTGACCGACGTTTCAGAGTTGCTTGTTGTAGCCATCATCAGGGAGATGAGTCGCTGAACTGTTGTCAGACTACAAGGCGCTACATCCTAGAAGACAGAAATCTTCATCGCCCTGATGACGGAGGCAGTATGACCTCTGAAACGGCGGTTAACATCGACCAGACTACACAGCGCGACAACCCAGAAGACAGAAATCCTCATACTCTGATGACGGAGGCAGTATGACCTCTGAAACGGCGGTTAACATCGACCAGACTACACAGCGCGACAACCCAGAAGACAGAAATCCTCATACTCTGATGACGGAGGCAGTATGACCTCTGAAACGGCGGTTAACATCGACCAGACTACACAGCGCGACAACCCAGAAGACAGAAATCCTCATACTCTGATGACGGAGGCAGTATGACCTCTGAAACGGCGGTTAACATCGACCAGACTACACAGCGCGACAACCCAGAAGACAGAAATCCTCATACTCTGATGACGGAGGCAGTATGACCTCTGAAACGGCGGTTAACATCGACCAGACTACACAGCGCGACAACCCAGAAGACAGAAATCCTCATACTCTGATGACGGAGGCAGTATGACCTCTGAAACGGCGGTTAACATCGACCAGACTACACAGCGCGACAACCCAGAAGACAGAAATCCTCATACTCTGATGACGGAGGCAGTATGACCTCTGAAACGGCGGTTAACATCGACCAGACTACACAACGCAACAAACCAGAAGACGGAAATCTTCATACTCACCGCTGTGAGAACCTCAAGTCTTACACAGTTCATAGTTAATAAACCAGCAACATTTTCTGATGTTGTGCAACCCGGAGGACCATTTGCGGTGTTCAAATAAGCCAGCCACAATCCAGTTCATTACAACGCACAGTTCAGAAGACACGTATCTATTTCTTGGTTGTGGACTCACTTGTGTGTACGTATCAGGAACGTTTCTACTACAGCGCGTCTATTATTCATTGTACAGCGCGGTTTAAGAATCTAGAATCCCGAAAAATATGTGAACTGTGAATGGAGATTAGTCTCAACTCTGATCAGAAATCTCTTCCCCTCTTCCGTTGGCCGTCACTTTCCGGTTACACTTTTATCTAAATTGACGCAACTGAGTGAGTTACTTGAAGGGAAGATGGCACAAACAGACGCAACGCTCTGGCGCCTACCGCGGGCCCTAAACTCGTTGCTTCTTTAGTACCACAGGTTGTACACCTCTCTACATCACCGCCCAGTCATCTGGCGACAATGAAGGCTGTTAGGAAAGTGGATGATGATTTACAGCAGCTGACGGAATGATGACATTTTAGTTTTTAAATTTGTTTTTAATTCGTTAGGCCTGTAGTACGAGGTGCGATCGGAAAGTTTTAAGACTGTGTTAATAGAGGGCGAACCGAATGTAGTACGAGCTTCTGCCGCTAGGGGGTGCGGCCTACATTCATAGTGAATCAGTGTGCCAGCCGGCATCATCGAATTAGCATTTGTTTCTTAGTTACGGGCGTTTTGGTAGTGCATTACACCGACCCTCCTGCGATTTCGGAATGGCGTGTGCATCAAATTTGGCCAAAGACTCGCCAAAACGGCTACGGAAACCTATGAAATCCTAAAGCAAGCATTTGGGGAGTCCGCAAACTTTGGTGTGGCATTCACGTTTTAAAAATGACCGAACCTCTGTCGATGATG